TTTTTCTTAATTATGGGTCGATTGGAACCGAACTCGGCACGTGCATAAAGGTACCCGAATGGAGTACTCAGATGGACAGACGGTCATTTTAATGGAAATTTTGTGAAAGTGAATAACATTAATTAATATTTTTAATTTATTACTTTTTGAACATTACAAACTCCACTTTTTAAAACATGTCATTCAAATCCTTCAATTTAATAACTGTTAGTAAGAAGTTTCACTTCAAATCGCACATCGTGCACACACAATTTTTTTATTTCATACTTTTTATAATATTTTATAGGTATTCTGTAAAATGTCCAGGTATTTCATAAAATGTAAAGTTTACCACTATGATAACATTAAATTTAATTTTTAAAGAGAATGCTTTAATTTTATACTTTGCCGGTAACAGTTACATTATAATCTAAAAGAGCTTTATTTGAAATCCCTTGAACAAAGCGAAGACAAAGCTAAAAAACTTTGCCACAGAAAAGTGTATTGTGCTGTAATCGTGGCAAGAGTCTAGACGGGCGTACAGGATTCTTCACTCAGTTTTAGTTGTAGCCATTTTGTGAAGCTTTTAGTTTGTGAAAGTGTCGTGCAACTAACTAATTTTCTCTGTGTTTTGTGTAAGTGACTGTAGTAAATACGTATCGCTTTGACTGCCCTTTTTACGACTTTGTTTACTTTTACCCTTTCCTAGAAAATGTCTCTATTCTGTATTTCTCGTCGAGAATATGAGACCGTTATAAAAGGGTTTTATGTTAAAGAGGTATTAAAGAAAAAAATATTTATTATTTTATATTTTATTTCTTATTGAATAAGTTTATATTATCGTCTTGGTTAACGCTAACCATAAGTAGAGCTTCCTTGGTACATTATTAACGAGGAATTAAGATGCAATAATTCTATCTACCATTTATAGGTAAGAACAATGATTTACTATAGACATCCCCTGATACAATATTTTTCTGCCCCAGCCACTGACGGTATTTTTTTATTGTTTTTGGTAAATTGATTAACTTTGAAGTGGAAAGAAAATTAGTTGTGCTTCTTTAATATTTCACTCATTTTGATGGCAGCGTAATCGAACGTGTGCCAAATTCACGCGAAAGGCATTTCCTGACAAAACACTTAACGCCATTGACAACAACCGTTTATGAGCAGATCATTTCATACAGGAATAACCTGGCAACAATCAAAGTTCGTACCAGCAGCGTTAATGTAAATATACCGAAAGATAAGTAAATGTAATATTTGAGTCGTTTTAAAATGGGACAATATATACTCAATTCAGTAAGAAATAAAATTATCTATGTACCAGGGAATTATAAAGTGTTAATAATCTCAGGCAACTATTGTCCCTCGGGCCATAGGCCCTCTGTACAGACACTTTGCCCCCTATAATTGACATCCTTATTATTCCCTTGATAAATAAATAACTATAATATTACTACATCATGCCAAGAACTTTTAAAGATAATATAGAGAACCATTTTTTTTTAAATCAGATTCAGTATTTCTAGTTTTTGACGGGAATTTTTGTATTCTAATCCCGACAAAAATTGAAATATATCGTCATATCATTAGGTATCTTGCAATTCGGATTGTTCGAAAGTCAGTGAAAGATGAAGACGCTATTTATTTATTTTTACTACAAAACAAAACATCAAAAGAACTGTTTCAACAGTATTATTAGTAAATATAATTTTTTAATTGTTTAATGTTTTATGCTGTTTGATTTAACCTTCATATAATGTTATAGTTAATCTTAATTATGATCACAGTATAGTAATTGTTTCTTGTTAAGTATGTGTATTTATAATAATTACTGGACTAGAAAACTCTAAAGGTTATTTTATTAAAATCAACTAAGCAAATTACATTGCGTGCATGTTAATATAATTACATGGCTGTGGTTTATTTAATTAGTGAAATAGACAACAAGGAATATATGAAATTTATCTACCGTATGATGAAAGAAAAACGACGTCCATTTGGCTTGGAAATGGAGATCGATGACATTCCTCATTTAATTTTATATATAAAATGACAGCGATCTTCATTTCATAGTTCTCGCTGGCTACTTTTTTCCGATCATATTGTATATAAATAATAAAAATCTATTATTTAAATTGTATTATTAATTAATTATTAAAATTGTCTCTTTAAAGTTTTCATTTATAATAATATCTTTCTCAGACTACAGTACCTCCAAATTTATATTCTAAATCATGAATATTCTATAAGACCTAAAAATAAATTTTATTGTTTATTTGGGTATTATTTATCAAGTTTTAATAGTTGAAAGTTGCGGAGTGTTACAATTTATACGAATTTCAAAACTTTTGCATTATTTACGACTAGTTCCAGCTTTTAAAATTCCGCGAAAGTTTTTGTCGGATTCACTTAAAAAGTTAGTTCAATTATAGAAAATTTCGTTGGAAACTCTTCAAAGGCAAACGTGAGGATAATGTCCGTTATTGAAATAAATTCTGAGAAGAATAAAGTACTGAAATGACTAAATATCTAAATATTGTATAAATTTATATTTCTTACTTATGAAATCATGTTTCTCTAGATAATTTGAAGACTTTGAGTAACAAAATAAAAACACTAAATCACCACAATACACCAAAACACTTTTACTTTTACACTGGACGCGCGTTTCGCTAACCATGTTAGCATCAACAGCAGATGATTATAAACTAACAGTTAAATAGCCGTGGCACTTAGCGATTTATATATGTTGTTCGTTATGAAACTTAGAACATTTTACAAATAAAACATGACAAATCTATTTTTTGGCACTTAGAACATTATTTACTTCAAGTCTTCATTTGTAAAATTTCTATATATATATATATATATATATAATATAGCAAACTAATAAGAGAATAGTAACAGAGTATTTTTAATGTGTTTTAGTTAAACTTTCTTTGTAATTTTAATTTGTAATACTGGAGTGTTCTTCAAAACCGACTCATCCCTATAACATTTTTACTTTTCCAGAAAAAAAAAACAAATTTGGTATGGTTTGGTTTGGATGTTATTAGTATATGATATAAATTGGGATCGATTGACGTATTCAATTACTTTCGGTCACTTCCGGTTTCACGGGAAATGATTATAACTTTTGATTTTTAAATATACCCTCGGTATATTTTTTAATTTATACGATACTATATGACATTCTGAATAGAATGACTGTGTATATAAATGGGCTATGTATGGACTATGTATCAAATAGTTGCCCGATCGGCTCTATATGTATGTATGGTTTACACTTTTGCAACCAAATAGCACATTTTTACAACTTAATGGCCATTGAATACGAACAGATGAGATTATATTATTTTAAGGGTATATTTTCATTGATAGCGTAGGTTCAATACCTCAACTGAGATTTACACGTGGGAGTTGACATGCGGGACAATATTAACGGGATGTAGGGTTAAGCTTTTATAGACTCACTAACTTTTTTAACTGAAATACCGCAAATAACGAGTTAAGAGTTTAAAATATATTTTTTTTATAGTTAAATTTTTAAATACCGGATGTTTTTCGAGAGTGGAAAAACGAGATTTGGTGTATTTCAATTAATGACTGACGTGTTCAATTAATGTCGGTCACTTCCTGATTTACCGGACATGTCTATATGATTTAATTTTTAAATAGTGCCTGAGATATTATTTCACTTAGTTCGATAGAAAATTACGTTCCGAATAAATTGACGTATCATAGGAGAACTTTTGACAATTTTTGACCATGGCTGTGTTAAATCACTAATTTTTAATCAAGGATCCTTGGAAAAATAGATTTCATTCTCTAATATTTTCAGTTATATTCTTTTGCCATTTAAAAGATGCCCAAATCGTATTTTTAATCATAACTTAATTTATTCAAATGGAAAGTAGGTGGGTAACGAATATATTTGGATAGAGCATAATTTTATGAAAATTTAATGGTTAATTTCTATGGTACTCTATATTGAAATCTAAATATAGTTTTTAAGCGAATAAGTCAAAAGTTTACATATGAGATATCATTCTATTCACAATGCCATTTTTTATCGAATAGAGTAAAAACAAACCTATGAAACCGTCTAGGAATTAAAAGATAATATTATCATATCCGGTGAAACTTGATGTCATTTTTTTACTTAAAATATAAAAAAAATATAGGGACACGCCTCCTTTGAAAAACACCCGGTATAGTATCTTTAAACAGTTAATGATTAGTACCAAACAGAATGGACAAATAATAAAAAATAGAAAATAAACCAGTTTTGAAAAATTTCTTTCATAGATTAAAACATATATAACATAATTTAAAATTAAATTAAAGTTAATTTGTATATTATTTATTTAACATTAACTAATAGGTACACATTTAGTGTATTAATTAAAATGCGTTTTAGGAGACAGAAATAGACAAAATATCAAAAGCCAACTTTTAATCAGCATTTAACGCTTAGGTTTACACAAATTTGCCAACAAAAGAAAAAAAAGTTAGTAGCGCACATATTTTTTTTAGAAAAATATTCCAGTGATAACCCATATGCATGTGCCTGCTGAATATCTCGACAATTTTTTAGCATTAAATAACGTCGCACATATAGTAACTTTTACCCTCAAAATTTCATTCGAATCGCTAAAAGCACGTGGAATTTTTTTTTAATAAATCGAAAAAAGTTAAAGACTTTAACCCCCTGTTGCAGCGAAACACAGCAGAATTATCGGACCTATATTAATTTGAAAAATAAATCTTATTTATATAATAGGAATCTCCCCAAGAGACATGGCACATGTTTTTTGAAGGTACCTATATTTTTATTCCCAGTTTAACACCCTTAGAATTTCTAATTTTTGCGGATAGAACATTCATAAAAAATGATGGAAATAAGCGACTTGTTCGTTAATTTGTTCATAATTTATTCATATAATATTCTATAAAGATTCTCCTAAACTCAGAACATAAATTTTAACTTAAAATATTTTTTACTTCTTTTACAGTTTATCGGGACTCAACTATTTTGCTTTGTCATCTTGCTAGCCGGATCTGCCGTTCTCTTAGACAACAGCGCCAGAGATTCCAAATTCCAGCCTGTGGTTCGTGAAAGTATGCGACAACTTATTATGAATGCACAGTACGACGACTACAAGTATAATTTACAACTGATTCAGGAAGGTGTAAGTATGACTACATATTTTTATTTTATTACCTTATTATGTTAAGTTTATTTTACCTTCAGCATCTAAAAATAAAAAAATACCTTTTTTTTAATTTATTATAGGTTGCTTTCCGATATTTTATTCATAAACATTCATAAGTGCTTATTATAACTTTGCCCATAACGTTTTAATGTTTTTTACTATCAATATTGATATTGATTGGACGATAACATTCTATTTTTACTATGTATTTCGACTGAAAGTACCGCTTTCCTTAAAATACATTTTTAGGACTAGGAATGTTAGGTTAGCCTGGGTATCGAGGCACAAGGATCACAAGGGTATAATACTTTCGAAGGCAGTAGGAATGGTCTGAGGATCTTAATTCCGTCATTGCCCTTTGTCTGCACTATTATTGGCATCGTCTGTTTAAACAAATTAAAGGACCCAAACCAGATCAACTGACTGTGGAATTACTATAACAAAAATGCATATGAAATGGTTAAAAAAAAATACTGAAGAAACTAAAAAGAAAATGGCCCATTAATAGGCCCAAAACCTTTCTGCGGCGCTTCAAAAGCAGTCACAAAATGGACACAAAATAGTGGTGAACAACAGATCTCTACAGGTGAAAAATTCATGAACATTCGCTAAATTTTACTGCAGACATGATGATGATAAGCTAAAACAGAATGACTGTCAAATCTGTAGTTGGCTTACCCACAGAGCATTGTAAGCTGAATATGCTGATTGATTGTCAATCAGAGGAAGAAACTACGGAACACATTTTATGTCAGTACGACAAGCTAGGAAATATTTAGTTCTATGTATTAGGCACTTATTTATTAGAAATTGACATAGAGTTACTTGGAGAGTTCAGTCTTACTTCTTATTCTTTTTTTGTGTCCACCTGGTTTCTCTTGCCGTCTACAAGCTCACAGTAAAGAAAACATATAAGCGGCTTCCTTTCATCCTGCATGCGTGACCAGCCCACCTTAAGCAGGATTTAGAAATTATGACTTCAGCTCTCGCAGCTGGTTTTTTCAAGGACCGATACGTTCAAAACATGGTGGTACTATTTGATTGTGAAAAGTTGTTTGAGGTATCTCTGTTGCAACTTATTTTCAAAATTGTTCGGTCTATAAGTTGTTCAAACAGATAGAACTTATCTAGAGATCACAACAGGATCACGATAGATCTGAAAAGGCCACAGTGGAACAGACCGATAGCCACCACCCAAATCTAACCTAATCTGATCTAGGTTTTCTTAACATAATTTAACTGACATATTGTTTTAACGAAATATTAGTGCTTTCCTTTTATCCTATTATTTTATCTCAATTTTATTTTGCCACTCTTATTTTTATTATTTATTTAATATAGATTGGATATTTTATTCTACCGAAAATATTATGAATAAGAATTGATTCAACAATAAGGTATAAAACAGTTTTAAATAAATAAATTTAAAATTGCAATTGAATATTCGGCAAACTTTTGAATAGAATTAAAGCAAAAGAAAGACATGAACCTTTATCAATATAACAAATGGTTTTCTCAGTTATTAAACACAGGTAACTTTTTTATTCTGGATTTCAAAGAGCTGGAAAACGATGGTCGCCTGCGAGAGACAGGAAATTCCAGAAAATTAATTGCCACAGTTGCAAAAAGTTTCGGCAGCAGTATTCAGAGGTCACTTTTCTGATGCGCGTCCAACTCTAAATGTTGTCTCATTCGGCTGAAAGATATGAACTGAAAAACGTAACCCCGACAAAAGAGAAGTTGTGATTGCATGTCGCTCTCCGTTGTTCTCTTGATGGGAACATGAAAACTACGTCGAAACCTGAGAGAAAAAACTTTTTATCGGTACATGGCATTTCATTTTTTTTTAATTTTGTCTGTAACGCTTAACGTGTCTGACTATTAATTGGCTAGGTTGAAAACATTTCCGATTCTAATGCATATGAACGCAGAGAATGCATTGTCTTACTTCCATTTAACTGTTTTTTTTTAACAATATACTATTTTTTCTTTAGTGATATGTAAAAAAATTAGTTTGTTGAAAGTATAGATATCCAGCACTATGCAGTCTTGATATTATATTTTTAATTTACTGAAACTTTGGTTAAAAAACTATATCCGAAAAGTGGTTAGAAACTAGAATTAATTTAACTTTACTAATAATTATATAACCTAAATTTTCCTAAACAACAAGGAAAACAGAATAAACCCGCGAAGAAAAAATTACATTATCTTATACAGGGTAATCTTCATGGTGTCAACAACATCGCAATATTTAAAATGCTCTATCGCAATTTTTAAATGCAACACTATGTATATTATACCGTATGATCGAGAAAAAACGGCGTCAGCGATGGCTATGGAATGAAGATCGCTGTCATTTTATATGTAAATTTATATGAGAAATGTCATCGATGTTCATTTCCCAGCCAACTGGACGCCGTTTTTATTCGATCATACGGTAGAACTCCTAAAGGCTGGTAGAAATGGAGCACGTACGCTCACTGCAGTATACATGGGCCACTGCCGGCTGAGATCACACCTAGAGAGGATGGGACTGGTGGAAGGCGCCGAATGCCGACTCTGTGTAGAAGATGACGAAACAATGAAGCACGTTATGTGTACCTACCCAGATGGGGGAAGGACCAGGTTTGAGATGTTTGGCAAACCCATGCTAGGCCTATCAGACCTAGGAGACATATCACCCTCGGATATATCGGCTTGTGTTAAAAGGCTCGGTCTTGAGGGTGAACTATAACGCTTATTTTCTATTAAAGGGCTTGTAGAAACTGAGCCACAATAGGCCCTCGCTGCCGCAGTGGAGGTTCCCAACTGGGACACACTCCTTGTCAATGCAATACAATTCAATGCATATTATTCTCATTTTTGATGAACAATTAAAAAGTGAACATTTTTTGTATTTGAAATGTTCATAAATTTCTAACGATTTTTCGCAGATATTCCTGGTATATTATTTAATATCGCTCTCCAACAGTAAATTTTTATCAAAGCCACCTAACATGATCTTTCTCTAGTATTTTCCCGTTATAAAACCCCATATGTAATATAATACTGGAAATATCTGCAAAACCGCTAAAAATTTAGAAACATTTTAAATACAAAAAATGATCATTTTTTAATTTTGCATCTAAACGAAAAATAATATATTTTATTCTGTAATTCTTGATGTTTAGAAAAATATAGCTAAGTATTAATAAAGTTATATTCGCTCCACTTTTTAACCACTTTGGGGGTATAGTGTTTTTAACTAAAGTTTTAGTAAAAATAAGAAATAAAATGGCAACAGCGCAGAGTGTTTCAATTAAAAATAGTGTACTATAACAGAATTTCATGCTGAATTCAATTATCTACAGGAAATTTGGTGGTACAATTTAAAAAAACCTTAAAAGTTTATCATAACTTTTTTGTGACACTCTGTATACAACAAAATATGTTGAGTATATGCCCCTTTATAAACTATGCAACATTTATATAAAACTTTTTTTAATATATTCGACAATAATGACGATATTGGACTTGTATATTTATATTATTTTCCGAGTTATTTTCATTTCTTTGATTTACTAGGTGCGTATCATATTTTTTGAAATTATGCCTGTAGTACTCAATATGTTAACAAAAGTAAATAAAACTATTAAATAACTAAAATTGGTTACAATTAAATATTCGGTAAACATTTAATGCAATTTGAATGAAAATCAAATGCTTAGGTTCTGCCGATATCAGAAAAAATCTCAATCATATAGAACGATACATAAATGTTTTTTGCAACTTCAAAGAGCTGGACAATGCAGGTCAGCCACGGGAAAGAGAACCTTCGACAGAATTAATTGCTAAAGTTGCAAAAAGCTTTAGCAATAGTATTCAGAGGTCGCCAATCTGAGGGGTGTCGATACTATACTTTTCCTCTGGCGACGAAGGATAGGGCTTAAAAAAAGACAGGATAATAGAAAAGTTTTGATTGGATGTCGTTTTCCGTTTTTTGTTTTTTGCGGAAAACATGGAAAATACGTTGATGAGCCTAATGTTTTTATCAATAATTAGATGTACGAGTATTAAGAAAATAGTCCAACCTAGCACAATTTCAAATAAAAGAATAATAGTATTTAAGGTAATTACAAAAAAACTCATTTTTAAAAGTTTTAACACCCTGTAACTCTAAAACTATGCATTTCTATACCTATGTTTATAGGAACTTTTTTCATATTTTTTGATGAGGAACCAATTGAGTACTTATTTAAAACTTTTGCAAGTTATTCATATTATTTTTTTTAAGGGTTGCTATTAGACTTGGATCAAGAAAAATTAATAAAATTGGGTTTATCTCATCAAAGACGCCGAAATCGAGAAAATATCAAGAGACAACTTTTAATCGGCATTAAACTGCTTACAATATTGCGCTAACAAGGGAAAAAAATCAGTGATGTACATCCTTTTTTAGAAAAATATTCCAGTGATAACTTATATGTACATACGTCCCTGGTGAATATGTGGATACTTTTAGCTTTAAAATATGTCGCATTTATAGTAACTTTTATCCTCAAAATTTCATTCGAAATGCTAAAGGTACTCAAAATTACGAAGTACGAAGAAAATTATAATAAATAGAAAAAATATTAGCACTTTAACACTCTGAAACTATGAAACAAAGCAGAATCGGACCTATATTGATATGAGAAATAAATCTTATTTTTATATGAGGAATCTCCCCACGAGAGATGGCAGATATTTTTTGGAACACCCTCTACATTACTATTGAAAGAGCCATAAATAATGCAGGGTGTCCCAAAAATAGCTGCAAGTATTTTAAGGGGTGGTAAATCTGGTCAAAAAACATATTTTCTCTTTGAAATTTTTAAAATAAATTAATAATAATCGTTTTAACTATGAAAATTAAAAAAATAATACAAACATTTTGAGAGTTCCGGTAGCAATCGATAATCTAATAGATAAAGAAATTGTATGCTATATGGCGT